CGCACGCGCCCGCAGAGCCTTCGGGGTTTGGGGCGGAGGGAAGCCGCCTCCTCTCTCGGCCTTCTGTCTTCAGATCTCAGGGGTTAGCAGGAGAACCCGAACCCGAACCCGGGTGCCGGCCCTGCGCACGGGCCGCACACCTTCTCCCCCCACCCCCGCCCCATCTCAGCCGCGGCCGCAGCTAAGGCCGCTCGCTCGCTCTCTCGGCTCTCTTCCCTCCCCTCTCCCCCCTTTTCCAATTTTAAGGCGATCTTCCCAAACGAGGCCGGGCGAAGCTTCCCCCATAAAGGAGAATGAAAGGTAACGTCCGCAAAAGGGCGCCCAGCGGGTCCACCCAACCGAAGCCCTTGGAGCACTTTGGCGAGGTTCTACTTAGGATGTGTAACTTACGTTCCACCCACAGAGCGTGTCATAATCTCTAGCTCGGGCTCCGAAGGCTCCGGGGGTCTCCACCTTCACCTCCACGTTCTTGGACTCTAGTGCGGGTTGTGACATGGGCTTAGAACCCACACCGCGCTCGCCGTCCGGAGTGGAAAGGCGCAAAACCCATCCCCGCACTCCGAAACGTTCCCTGAAAGCACCTTAAAACCATTTGCTATAAATATGTATATATATATATATATATACGTATATATATATATATATATATATATATCCCCAAGTTTCATGTCGATTTTTTAAAACAAATCTTGAACCAGCTTCTACTAGTGTAGGTTACACACGTTCCGAAAAATTCTTTCATTTGAGAGTTTTCTTTCCTCAATTACCTTTAATATGTAAATTAAAATAAAGAAGACTCTTGTAAGCCTGCTGATTGAAAATAATCTCCACTTTAAATCCAAGCCTTGGGCTGGGTTGTAGCTCAGTGGCAAAGCTCTTGCCTAGCAAGTGCAACGTCCAGGGTTCGATCCCCAGTACCAAAAAAGACAACAAAAATACAGTTAAAACAAAGACAAGCAATATTAGATAAATACGTAATGCCCAGTAAATCCAAGCCTTTATGTACTGATTGAAAATAATCTTGACTTTTAATCCAAGCCTTTACTATAACGTGCATTAAAGTAGAGAAAATTCGTAGGAGTCGATTGATTACAAATCATCTAGACTTCTGATCCAAGCTTTCTGTTTTTCTACTTAAAAAGCGTTATGGGTGTTGGCCAGATTGTTAGGGGCAAGCTGGTGGCCAAGGAAATTAAGAAAATTAAACATTAAAAAAAAGCATCTCCCCTCTAAAATTGGCCGTGACGTCTCTGCCTTGGAGCACCTACACTTCTGTGCCCAGGTTCGAGGGTTTTCTTTTCGCACCCACAATCACACGAGGACTCTTACTGTGTGTTCCCTAAATCTCCGGTTCTCTTTTATTTTTATTTTCGGGGGCGGGGATCTCTTTTATACAAGGTAATATCGATGATAAAGTCCCCGTTCTTAGACTAAATTCCAGACCCCGGAGGAGCGTACACATTTCGTGGTGTATGGATTCTATTGAGGTAGAGGAAAAATATCCTTAACATTGAACATTGCGTCTAATTCGAAAAATCAGGCCAGGCTGGGTCTCCCCAGCCCCGGGCGCCGAGCCCGCTGCGCGGGTGCGGGTAGGGTGGGATGGGAGGTGGCTCTCGGTTTCCCACGAAAACCTGCGTGCACCGAACCGAAAGTGAAAGAGGAGATGGGGGACTCCCTCCTCCCCGCAGCTGCCCCGCACCGCGCACCCCCCTCCTCGAGCGAAGCCTAGGATTTGGAGGCGAGGTGTCCCTAGATGGGACAGGGAGGCTTTCCAGCGTCGCTGAGAAACATTGAATCTTCAATTTGGCACAGCTCAGGAGACCCTACACACACACACACACCCCAAGCGCCGGCAGGGGCTTAGGGAGGGAAGAGAAGGGTCCAGTTTGGGTAGGAATTCCCCGCACACCACCAGGTAGGGGGCTCTTTTGTAAACAGATGCGGATGTCTCCTCCCCCCCCCCCCCCCCCCCCCCCGTCCCCCGCACTCCTAAAGTCACCTTGAGCTATGAAAACGGAGGCCCAGGATGGGGTAGGAACGTCTGCACCCACCGAGGTTTTCTCTTATCAATTTGGGCAACCCAGAGAAGACCTGGTCAAAGACTTCCATGAGGGCAGCCCTGGCCCGGCCTCCTGGTCCGCACTTCCCACTGACGTGTGTCTGGACACCAGGAGTGGCATAGAAGCTGAAAGGAGCTGGAGCTCAGGCCTTCCAGCCTCCCCTCCAACTGGAGCAGCCCTGAGCCGAAAGGGTTCTCCGGGTCTGAAAGGCCTGTGGTGGGGGTCCGGATGAGCCAAGGCCAGGCCCAGAGCCAAGGCCAAAATCTGGCCTCTGCCTTTTCCCCAACCTCTGGGGAACATCCTAGGATTTTTCTTGAACCCCATTCTACTCAGAATTGTGGCACAGAACTATTGTCAACGTCCACCTCAGTTTCCCTGCTTGCTGGCAGATTAGAAAAGTAATTCCAGAAGCTCAGTCTTGTAAAGTCCAGAGCCTGTCCCTGCCTCAGTTTGTCCATCTTGAACCCAATGAGTCTAAGCCATTCCCTAGATGAATCAGAAATCTCCCAGAGGCCAGGCAAACTCTTGTTGAGAAGGGAAAGGAGGGGAATGATTTGTCATTCATTGATCATGTTTTGCCTTGAGCCTCCATTTTAGGCAGCAGAGAAGTGGGGGTCCTGCCAGGTCTAGGGGTCTGCCTTCCCTTCTAACCTACAGCTTTCTGACTTTTCCCAGGCAGAAATAGGCAGCAAGGAAGGCCCTGCCTTCTGTTCTGAATTGGCCATTCCAAACAGCAGAGAGCTAGGGAAGTGAACTGTAGAGGAAGGAGCTCCCTCTGAGACATTTACGACCCAGTGAGACCTTTCTATTATTGCCCTAATACCAGTGAGGAAATGGGAGTTTAGAGGGGTTACTTGCTCTGGGGTCACACTGGAGGTTAGGGGCAGCCTTAGGTCAAGTGGCTAGCCTTTTCCCTCAGCCCTGATGGCTAAGACAAGTACAAGGATGGGCTAGTTTGGCCAGGAGGATCCAGGAGGTCGGAGGGGGTGCCCAGCCTTTCCCTCTGGCTCTGAAGGCATCTTCGTGACCAGGAACTTTGGGAGCTGGTCCCCCTCTGTATGTCTGTCTGTCTGTCTGTCTGTCTATCTATCTATCTATCTATCTATCTATCTATCTATCTATCTATCTATCTATCTATCTATCTATCTATCTATCTATCTCTCAGCTTCCTCAGAGGCTCACCACAGTTTTGAGTTTCTTTAAAATATGAAAATGCAGCAGCGTGTGGTGCGAGAGAGAAAACACATGAGTCTGAAGTCCCCAAATCTAGGAACGGCTCTCACCTAGGAGCCCAATGTCAGGGCCTGGGCTCCTGAATTTGAACATGGAAGGAGAAGCTGTGTGGAGCTGTGAGTGTTGGCCATCTGAGTGCCTGCCCTCACTCTAAGCTGGAGGTGGGCAGGAAAAGGTAGAGGAAGTGGGAAAAGGCTACCAGATCTTTCCAAACTTACTCTGTAGGCTTGGGAGTGCATAATTTATCTGAGGCCACCTAAGTGTGTCTACTTGGATTGTAATCGTGTTTTATCATGAAGAAGAGGGATATGTGTAGAACACAAATGTAGACAAATAACTGTATGGCTGTCTAAGTCGTTGTGTGTCCAAGACCACCTATTAGTTCATTCTAAGCTTGCAAATGTGAGTGTGAAAAAGTGCATGGAGGCGCCATGGGCTATTTTCCTAAGAATCTTCTGGCCAAGAAGTCCTCCACCGTGTCTCACCCCAGTTTCCAGGCCTGCCCACCATCTCTACTTCCAGCATAGGCCAGCACAAATCTATCATCCTGTCAAGGATCGGCTCACCTCCCTGCGGACCTGCTTGAAGGCCAAGCCCTAGAGGGGGAGGGGGTGGACGACATTATTGCACCCAGGCGATGTTCCTAACTGGAAGGTTCCTCCTCTCCTCTTGGGAGCCCCCAACCCCAATTCTGTGGAGGAAGAGAAGGCTTAGGCTTCGGCTCTTGAGCGCTTCTCTCCAAGGTAAATGGCCGCTGAGCTCTAGAGACCCAGGCCTAACGTCCCGCGCTCAAGGGGGCTTGGAGGTCATTTAGGCCAGCAGCCTCCTTTTCCTTGTGGTCCCAAGACAAGACCCGACCCTTTCCATCTTCCCACAGCCGAGCGACCACAGCTTCCTACTTTCCCGCCCCGCTTCTTCCTAAACTATTGTTCCGAAGCCCGCGGTTCCCAAAGATCGCCCGGGGAAGAAGCTCCCGCAAAGTGTGGCGGGCTGTCGTCCCCTCGGAGAGCCGCGCTTTCCGACTCCTGGAGTTGTCGTGGGGAGCGAGGGACCCCCAAGCTCTCCCGACCCGCGCTTCTGTGGTTCCCTGACTTCCAGCGCTCGCTCCGCGAGACGCGCGCTCCGAGCGGACTCCGCGCAGGGCTCCGCACCTGCGACCCTCTTTAAACCCAGGAGCCCCCGGCGGGTAGGCGGGCAGGCGGGCGGGCAGGCGTGGAGCGAGTCCTCCGCCAGCTCGGGAGCCCCGCGTCCGTCCCGGCGGTGCGCGGCTCGGCGCCTCCTCCCAAAGCCTCACGCCGGGAACCGGGACGCAGCCTCCACTTCCAATCGGGCCCCGCGGGGCAGCGCAAAACGGATCGGTTTGGGCAAAGTGCGAAGAGAGACCCAAGGAAAGCAACGTCAGGACAAAGTGTAACCGCCGGCGCGTTCGGGACCCGGGCCGGGGTGGGGTGTGTGTCGGGGGGAACTTCGGAAGGAGATCGGGACGCCCCCCCCCCCTCCCCGCGACCCCTTCCACATCTCCGATCCTCACTTTCCCTCTCGCAGTCCCCACGGCCGGCCCCGGAGCCTCCTAGCCCGCGATCCCCACTAACTTTCTCAACCCGCGTGGATTTCAGGGGATGGGATGGGATGGGGTGGGGGGCTGTCGGAAGCGCGGACCCCCCCCCCCCCGATCCGCCCCGGGTGGCCCGCACGCGCACTCACCGTAGCAGGGGACCTGCAAGGCCGCGTTGTGGCCGCTGCTGCCCTCCGGGAGTTTGAGGCTGCCGTCTGGGGGTGTCTTACAGGCGCCCCGCTGCAAGTAGAGATGCGGTTGCGGCGGCGGCGGCGGCGGCGGCGGCTGGGGCTGCGGTGGCGGCGGCGGCGGCTGGGGTTGCGGGGTCGGTGGCTGGGGCTGGAACTTATTAAAGGAGCCCCGCGCCCCGGCGCCGCTCTCGACTAGGGGTGCCGCCAGGTCCTGCTGCCCCGCGCCGCCGCCGTAGCGGGCCCGGCTCTTGGCATCCCCGAATCCCTGGCCTTTGGCTGCGGCCGACAAGAAAGTTGTACCGAACTTGTCGCCCCCGGGAAATCCCCTAAAAGGCGACGAACCCTCCCGGCTCTGCGACACCGGGCTGTAGTAGGCGTCCATGGCAGCTGCGGGCGAGTCGCAGTACGAGACGCAAGTCTCAGCGTTCATGCCGGGCCCGCGCGGGCGACGGGCGGGGGCGCCGGCGAGGGCGCGAGGACGCCACCGCGCGCCTTGGCCCGGAGCTCCGAGAGGCAGGCGGGAGGCGGTGGCTGCGGGCCTGCCCGCGGTCCCCCTCCCCTCCCCGCTACGCCTCCCGCTCTCCCCCCCCCCTCCCGCCTCTTCTCTCCCCTCTCCACCCTTCTGTCTCCTTTCTACCCTCTTGCCTTTCTCTCCTCTCCTTTTTCTCCTCTCCTCTTCTTCCTCTCCCCTCTCTTCTCTCTCCTTCCTTCTCTTCCCTCTCTCCTCCTCTCTCTGTCTCCTTTCTCTCCTCTCCCCTCTCCTCCCCTTCTTCTCTCTCTTCTCTCCTTTCCTCTCTCTCCTCCCTCCTCTTCTCTCTCTTTTCTCTTCTCTCTCCCTCACCTCTTTCCCTCTCTCTTTTCTCTTCTGCTCTCTCTCCCTCCCCTCTTCTTCTCCTCTCTCTCCACCTCTCTGCTCCCTCCACACAGCTGGTCCAGGGAAAGAACCACGAGCTGTAAAAAGATTCAGATGTTTCGGAAAGTTGACCAGATCTCCCAAACCCTCTTAAGGTTTTCAGACGGAAGAGGAAAAAAAAAAGTGATTTCTTTTTCTGACTTGCTCCTTCCTGCTTCCCTCCTTCTCCCTTGCCTCCTCCCTCCTCTTTCCACCCTCCCCGCCCCTCCTTTCCTCTCTTCAGGAGATACTACTTGCACTAACTGGCAAATGGAAGGGGGGTCGGGACTCAACCCCTGGGGTGCTTGAGGGCCTCTTGGATTCTAGGCTGGGGATCCGAGGTGCTGAGACTCGCAGGACTCTGGGCTTCAAATTGATAGGAGGTCGGAGCTCTGGCCCAGTGTGTGTGTGTGTGGGGGGGGGGGGATGCAAATTGCCTTGACAGGTTAAGAGAAGAAAGAGTGAAGAACCTAATATAAACGTGACTAGTTCGACATTGGGAGTCGAGCTTGGGAATGAGCAGGAGTTTTGGATGCATGTGCTCAAACTCCCCAGTCCCGGGCTGAGGCACCTTTGCCTCTGTTTCCTTCCAACATTGCCTTTCGAAATGAACACAAGAACTTTGGCATCTTAAGCACCTTTCTCGTCTTTTTAAACTATTTCTCAGCACCGGTATCCATACCAGGGCGGTTGGCTGTGTGGAACTGAGCCACTGGCTGGTCCCCACTCCCCACCCCCAGCTAGGGCTGTTTCCACTGACTCAGGAGTGCTGCCCACTCCTCCCTTCCCCAGGCCCAGTGGGGTCGAGCCTCTCTTCCGAGCATGGCCAGGTGGGTTTCCTGCAAGGTCAGGTTCAGAGTAGGGAGTCCAGAAACACTAGTCCTGCCTGATCGTTGTCTGTCACCTGCCACAGCTTGAGGAAGGTAAGGAACTCACTACTTCCCATTGTAAAACAGGAAGCTTGGATGTCTTATTTTTCTTATTTTGTTGTTTGAAATGAGGGTGTGTTTTTTGTTTGTTTGTTTTGTTTCGACTAGATGGCCCAGACTTGCCTTGAACTGGCAAGCTTCCTTACCTCCACCACCAGTGTGTTGGGATTACAGGCATGCATCACCACTTCCATGGTTTGGATTTGATGGTTTGTGATTTCCCCCTCATGTGGTCTCTGGACCCCTGGACCAACTGACACACAGCAAGAAAAAGAAAGATGGACTACCTGTCCAGATCCCTCTATTCACATAGCTAAGTCCTTGCATCTCACAAGTGAGTCATGGAGATTGATTCTACAATTTTCCAACCAGCAAACCAAGGCTCAGAGAGGCTCTAACTCCTGGCTGAGGTCACATAGTCAAAAATAGCTTATAGGAAAGTTGTCCCTCCTGGGAGCCTCAATGGACTTGGGAAGCTGAGCCTAAACATCAAGACCCAAGGAGAAAACTGGCATCCAGCTGTGGAATGACTCTGATGGAAGACCACTAAGAGCAATCTCCTGAAATCAGAAGGAAATCCCCTCTGGGTGCAAAACTTACCTGGAGGGAGGGTAAGTGTGAGGCAAGAGGACCTAGATGCTTTAAACCAGGAATATCCAGGATGGAGACTTCTAGCACCCATGGTGCCCCAAAGAAAATACCTGGAGGTTGTGCACCTACCTCCGACATCTGGACCCATCTCTGCGTCACCCCACCGCTCGGTATCTGCTCACTGCCGACTGTGCAATCCTACATCTGGTTTCCATCTTGGCTTACCTTGAAGTGCTCGTTAATAAAGATATTTCCCAAACCAAGCCAGGGGCGCCGAGGCACAAACTCCTCCTTTGCTGCCGGTCAAGGTCCCCCATCTCTGGCCAGCAGATCTAAAACTAGTGCATTTACTGTGCCTTTGTTGTGCCAGAAGCCACATCAATATGCCTGTCCTCTCATACCCACCTTGTCATGGGCAGACAGAGTCTCCGTGGATGGAACTAAATCACTGAAAACAAACCAAAAACCTATATCAGCTGACATTAATCAAGATGCATTGTACTTATAACCTGACCTACGGAATTGAAAGCTCTACACTGCTTAATACTACTACTAATCAAAACTAAATCACTTTCTAACCAAAAGGGTTTCTTTGATTTCTAGAACCAAGTTCTCCACCTGGGCATCATTATATCTACCCCAGGTTCTCTCTACCTGAAGTTACCACTATCAATCCTATGCTTTTATCTGGCTGGTGATTTGGGGTTCTACTTGGATTTTCTAGGTAGTCTAGGTAGATGCCTTCATTTGTCTGCTCTCACCATCCAGGACCTCTTAGTTGTCCAACTTTATTCTCAACCCTTTTGGGCTTGCCTCCTAGATCATGGTACCCCACAAACATTTGTAGAACAAAATATGCAGGCTGGAGTTTTCGATCCCTGGCCTCTTGACTCCTTCCAAGTTTCCAGCACAGAACAGAGTTCCAAGAGTTTTGAGATTCCACTAGCCAAGGATAACCAGTTGCTCACTCACCTCCCCTTCCAAAATCAAAATGTTAATAGCCAGCCTGCTGGCCCCTCAGGCCCAGGCCCTGAGAACAGTGAGTTCTCTCCTAGCAGGAAACAGACCTGTCGTATATACCACAATGGTTGGCACAACACAGTTGCTCATCAAATGTGTGTTAAATGAATGAATGAAAATGCTATGTGACTCCCAAGGCGTAGAGACTCACTTCCGTCAAGGCATCATTAGGAAACGTTCTACTCCAGTCTCTAGAGCCCAGAAGCTGTCCACAGGCACCAAGATGGTGGTGGCCAATCTTCCACTTCCCCTCCCATCTGATTCCTAACCTACAAAGGAGGGGGGCAGCAGAAATGGGGGGGGATAGCTGCGGTCATGTAGTATTCCAAGGGCCAGGTGCACTCCAAAGCTGCTGGTCACCACTCCTCACCTGAGCTTTGATGGCCTGCTTTAGTACTGCCTCATTTAACCTTTTCTTGTCCATCTGGGATTCAAATATTGGACATTCTAAGCACAGCATTGAGTGCACTCACTGGGATCTCTCCAACTTGCCCCCTCGTCTGGAGCCCTCTACCGTCTACATTCTACCTTAAGAATGCAACAAGGAAGGAAAAGCATACGCCTCTGGGCTAGGAAATACCTTTGGGTTTGTCAGCGCAGATGCTGAGGAGTGTAAACTCATGAATTCAGCCATTTGTCCATCAGCCATCCCTCCTGTGAGTGGGAAGCCTTGCCGATGCTGCCCAGCTCCTCTGCAAGAAGGCTTTTCAGCCAGTCACCTGGAGGATGCTGAAGCCTAATTCTGGCCCTGGGCTCTGCTCCCCAGGCAGTGTCTCTCCTTCAGCCAATGCTTCCTGGGTTGCTGTCTACCTCTTTGCAGGCCCTTTAATAAGCCAGGAGGTGTCTCAGCAGCCCCATTACTTCACTCCTTACTGGGGGAGGTAACTGAGGGAGGTGAGCACAGGGCCAGGCTTCAGGTCTTGTGCCCTTATCTGCACTTTTCTCACCTTGATTTCTCCTGGGCAGCTCCCCAGAAACAATTTTCTCCTTCCCAGGACAAGGGGGCACTCATGCGAGGGGAACAGGGAAGAGGCAAGAAAATGTTTGTTTCCCAGCCTTAGTCTGAATTTCCCTTCCTCAGAGAGAGGTTTCCTTTACCAGCCCAGTGACGATGAAACACAGTCTCTCACGTGCATAGGATTAATTGTCTATCTCCTTGCTAGGAGGCAATCCCAGACCACTGTATCCTAGATGCATTGTTCAGAGAATATCGGTTGAACAAGTTGGTGATGGAACCAATGAATGAACAAACGAATGACTATGAGGAGCTCTGCCTGGTACTTGGGAGCTGCTGGGTTCTGGTGGCTCAGGACTGGAGCTCTTGAGGCAGAGCTTTGGGATTGAGGACTGAGTAGTTAGAGGGTCCTTAAACGGTGGGAAAATCAGAACTGTCTTATTTCTTTCCAAGGAAAGGACAGAGTCAGAACCATCTTCTTTAATCCAAGCTGCCACAAACCCTTACTCCCACCCCTTGCCCAGCTGTGAGGACAGTGGCACTGTGTGGGACTCTCCAACCCCGGAGGAGTTTGGCAGTTGAGTGACCTCACCAGGGGCTTCCAGCTTCCTTCTGAATGACACGGAAACCAGCAAGTTAAATTTGTAACTCTACAAATGGTCGGAGTCTGCCAAGCTAAAAGGACATTTTGAACACTCCAGGAGAGCAGGGGATAGGCAGGTAGGGCAAGTTATCACCCTAAGAAGCCCAGAGGTCAATGATTTGGAGAGGGGATTCCTGTGTCCTACCAATACCACCCCCCCTCCGGTTACACAAACCTCCTGTTGGAAATACGGATAAGATAATGACAGTGGTGGGGAGAGGTTGTATGTGTAGTCTCCTGGCGGCTTAGATATATGCAGTACTCACAATAGGCTTATGTGGAACTCTGCTTCTCCTTTTGTTATTTTTTAAAAAATATTTTAATGGTTATTATACAGGCGACGCACAGAGTTGCAGAGTCTTATTTTAAAGCGAATAAAGAAGAGGGTCCTTGGTGGTCC